TTTTTTTTTTTTTTTTTTTTTAACTCTACATAACCTAGTGTTCAGTTTCCCCCTTTGGAAATGAGTTTAAAACATTTACTTCAATCTTCAAAAGAGTTTACATATTTGTTTTCTAAAATATATAAGATGTTATATCAGAATCCCCACAGTGTTTTTTATGTTTCTGTTTCTAATGTTGAATTATTCTGCCATTTTAAACTGTTCTAAACAAATCATTTTTAGATATTATCTAAGGTGATGTTCTAGACACACTTGTGAAAGGTTCATTTTCACTGATCAGTTATAAATATTTCAACAACATTGAGATGCATCCAAAATTATAGAGGTGATACGATTTCTAAATAACAATAAATATGAATTATGTGTTTTGCACTTGGTACTTTCTCTGTTCTTGTTTCTAACATTCAAAATAAATAAAGGAAAAGTTCTACAAAATTGTGATGGTTAATTTTTATTAGCGCACAGCAAATTTGCTTTTACCATTTATTAATGCAAAGTGCGACCATTCAAGATGAACATATTTATCCTCATGTGGTCATGTTTTTTTCACTGTATTTTTAAATACCGTCCATAAATTCATCCAAAACCGGTTATCCCGCAGGGTCAGTAGTTAGTTCTATGGCTGGTGTGTTGCGCGATCCTGCAGCTGCTTCATCTTGCAGCTGCGTCATTTTTCTCGCAGTGCACTTTTTGACACAAGTGTTTGCATCAAGAGCTTTCCGACAGAAGGAAAGGCACGTGACTTATTCCACTCGAAATCGAAAGTTTCCTACATTGAATTACAAGCTGATAGTTTCCTGCATCGACGGAGAAAACAAGAAAACTCCCAAGATGAGCGCTGGAGCTAAAATAAAGTGTTATAATCTGAGGGATACGACGATCCTCTTTGTGAATGAAGAGGATCAGTTTGACTGTAAGTGGCTTATTTTAATTTATCAAGCCATTGCAGGGCTGGAGCTGGACAATCTGCCTCCGTCTATCTTAGTTTCTTCGATAAATGTTACCTTGAGTTTAAGCCAGCCTGTTTTACAGCATCTTGGATGATCTCATTAAATTTGTTTCTATAGTTTTATGTGAAGGTTTTGCATCTCCAAGAGCTCGGATGTCCTGTGGACATGTGGTGACCCCGATGTCTCTCACAAAGTGGTGCAAACATTTGATGGAAAAGGTAAGAGGGCAGCAAGCTCACACTGAAAGCAAACAAAGAACCCGAATTAAAATGTTACAAAGATATTTCCTACTAAGTGGTTAATTGGCACATAAAAAGTGAAGTAAAAAAAAAACAACAACAAAAAAAAAAAACATACAAAACCATAAAATCACATTTAAATGTAAACTATGGAATTTCTATTTTCAATACATTTTAAATCATGATACCACGGAAGAGGATTAGGGCCACTGGAAAAAAAAGTTAGCGGATTTTTAAATTTTATTTCAGTTTAATATGGGAAAAAAATTGAGAATTCTGACATTTTCCTCAGAATTCTGACTTTAATCTCAGAATTCTGACTTCTTTTTATTGTCAGAATTCAGTCAGAGATTAAAGTCATAATTCTGAGAAAGAAGTCAGAATTCTGAGAAAAAA